GGCCATGGCCTTGTCAGCAGCAGTGTGATTCTCCATCTCTTTCCAGTGTCTTCTGGGTCTCTGTAGACATAGAGGTCGGGCATGGCCTCCCGTGTGTGTTCACAGGAGATGGTGCCACGTAAGCACCCGCCACATCAGACCCGCTGCGTGAGCTCCCTGTTGGTGTAAGGGATGGCCGCGGCCACAGAGCATGGAGGACCGTCTGTGCTTCACAGGGCAGGTCAGCACAGGGCATCTCTCTGAGGGGCTGGCAGTCAGGCCTGGCATCGGTATCCACCAGAAGGCGGGACTCCCGGAAAGCCACCTGGACCGACTCAGTGAGGGTCACGGGAATGAAGCGGCCAGATAGTGGCTGCAGTGGTCGCAGCACACATCATCCCAGCCCGCTGGCAGGGATTCCTGGAGGCTGTGACATGACATCTGCCAGGTTTTCAGGGGCAATAATGGCACGATGTGCCAGCAGAAGCTCTCCCAGGTTCTCTGGATTTGTGATGTACACATCGCTTCTCCTTCTGTGGATGTACTTTCGACCTTGAAGTCAAGATCGCCGCCACCTAAGTTGTGCTGCGGCAGGAATTTGAGGACATCTCCTTTTGCGGGATATCGCGGCCTCCAGACATTGTGAAAGTTTCTCTCAGGACAGCACAACGTGGACCTCTTTCTAGGCAGCAAGGAAAGGATGGCCTTTCTTTTTTACAATATGTGGTTTTCTGGGGGCGCCTGGGTGGCTCAGGCGGTTAAGCCTCTGACTTCACTTCAGGCTATGATCTCACAGTTTGTGAGTTTGAGCCCCTCATTGGGGCTCTGCTGTGAATTCTGAGATAGGGCACCTGAGATAAGCTACCCTGTGGAGAACATCCTCACACTGCAGAGAGAGAGGATTCTAGCAAATCCCACTGAGGCCACACTTCAAGGATCTTCTGTACACAGCAGTGAGACAGAGTCCTGCCCTCTCCAGCAAGCTCCAGAGCTTGGCCCTACGGCAGGTGCAGGGGTGAGGAGCCCTTTCTCAGCCACTCAGTGTCAGTGCTAGAGGCCGTGGCCGCTCCCCAGACCCACTACCTCTGCCTGGTTAGGAGTTCCTGCCGGCTTCACTCCTAATTCCGTTACCAGTTCTTACAGTAGACGTTCTCCATTCAGGTTACCGATTACGTGGGTTTCTTCCCCCTGACTGCGCCCTGACTGCCACACCCTCGCTTAGTCTCAGTGCTTGTATAACGAAAGGCCGAATGCTCTCCACTGTCCTTCTGCCATTGTCTAGTAGTCCCTTTGATGCTGAGTTTCATTCTCTAGATTTGTCAGGAAGAACTCAAGTGAGTAACATTCTTGGAGTTCCTCCATTTTGATAACAAATTAGCCTATGTTTTTATACTTGAAACTCAGTTTTGCTGGATACAAAGTCCTTGGTTCTCATTCTTTTATTTACTTATTTATTTTTAGAGAGAGTGAGCGAGCATGAGTATGGGAGAGGGGCAGAGGAAGAGAGAGAATCCTAAGCAGGCTCCGTGCTCAGCAGGGCCAGTCCCACGACCCCAGGATCATGACCTGAGCTGAAATCAGGAGTCGGAAGCCCAGCCAACTGAGCCACTCAGGTATCTCTCTCATTTTCTTTCTTTGATCATTTTAAATGCTTCACTATTTTCTTCTCGCATGAAGTATCAATGTTGAAGTCCTATGATAGTCTGGTTTTCTTTGATGAATGTTGGCCTAAATGACCAAATGTAAAGTCCAGTAATTTTAACTAGAATGCATCTTGTTATTCAGTGTTTTTACAGTATGCCCTTTCAACATGAGGTTTTAAAAATATGTATGGATATACATATGAATATATATTAATGTAATACATATGTGACTACATATAAGTACAAAAATCTGTTTCTATTTTAGGAAAAGTTCTCTTGAATTATCATGTGTTATATTCTGTTAACTAATTGTTCTTCATCAGGGCTTCTTTATCCATATATTGGCTTCTTTGCCAATCTTCAATGTTGATCATTTCTTTCTCTGAATTTCTTTTTGACTTAAAAAAAATCTCATTTCCCAATTCTCATTCTCTATAGACACTATCTGTTTACTCCTGGGTTCCTCCTAGTTTAATTATTTTTTTAATGTTTTTTTTTTGTTTGTTTTTTTTTTTGAGAGAGAGCACAAGCAGGGGAGAGAAGGAGAGAGAGGGAGACAGAGGATGCTAACAGCAGAGAGCTCAATACGGGGCTCAAACACATGAACTGTGAGATCATGACCCAAGCCAAAGTCAGACACTTAACCAACTGAGGCACCCAGGGGCCCCTCCTCCTACTTTACTATTCTATTCAGAAATCATTTTCTTTCATTTCCAATTCTTCCCCAAATTCCATTCATTTCTGAGTTCTTCTTACTCTGATTTATGTTGCTCTTTCATTTCTAATATCATTTTAACATCTTTAATTTCGATATGAGGTGGGTTTTTTTTTTGTTTGTTTGTTTCGCTTTTGGTTTCTTTGCACCGACATTGTGCAAGTTTTGCACTTGTGGTCTGACATCACCCTCTTGCATTTTGGGGTTTGTGGTGTTATCTGTCAGTTAGCTCTGTTGTAAATGTTTCATCCGTTTTCGGTTTCCCTAGCTAGTCTGTTTCTTTGTAGATTCACAAGTCATGTACTGCCCTTTTTCCAGGATCCATTTATATTTTTGAGTCATGAATGCTTCTCTTTCTACATACCTGAGGCTTCAATCCTTAACTGAGTCTGATAGTAAAGGGCTGGGGCGAACCAATATGTTGCTTGGATTGGCAGTGGTGTATCACATCACCTCTTCATTTTTGAGTGATTATTTACTTGGTCATAACTTTCTACGTTGTCGGTAGCTTCTCCGCAGTACTACATATATCCCATTCTCTTTAGCATCAATTGTTATTTTTTAAGAACTTGGCTTCGGGTCTAAATGTCATTTCTTTGTCAGTAGTTTAAGTTTTGATTGCTATTAAGATTGTTAAAATGTTCTCTGTGCTTAACTTCATCATGATGTATATGTTATTTTCTCAAGACTGGGTTTTTCTTTCAGTCTAAAGAGTAATCAATCTTTCTTCAGTTCTAGAGAACTTGGGAGCTACCAGTCCTTTTAATTTTGCCTCTGTTCTCTCTCTTGGGCTGCTTATTAGATATCCTGTTGAATGTTTTCATCTTATGTAGAACTTCTGAACTTATTGATTTGCATAGGCAAAAAAAAAGTTATTTTTTTGTTTAAGCCAGTTAGATTTCAAGCTTTTTTAAGTCACTGAAACAGAAACACTTTTACTTTCCTCAAAAGGCAAGTCAGAAAAGAAACCGAAAAAGAGGTGACTCCTGAAGTAATTACCTCGAAACCTAAACTACTCCAGAACTTTTAGGTCAATAAATTCACTTACCTTTTTCTCTCTTAAATCAGTTACAGTGGAGTTCTGACCACTGCAGCCAAGAGTCCTGATTAATCTAAATGTTTACTATGTGGCTGGCACTGTGCCAGGTGCCATGTAATCAGTGACACTCAAAACAAAGTCCATGCCTCTATAACCACAGCATTTCACACTCATTCAATACCATCGTCATTTCTTCCTGCGTCTGCCACGCCACTCCCACCGCCCAAAACTTGGAGTGCTTAGTTGTTAAAACGTTACAACTTCCTCACAATATGTATTTGTTTGTTGGTTTTGCGAGAGAGAGACAGACAACAGACAAAAGGAGAGAGCACAAGCAGGGGAGGGGCAGAGAGAGACAGAATCCAAGCAGGCAGTGCAGAGCCGGTTGAAGGGCCAGCTGAAGGGCTGGAGCCCGTGAACCCCGAGATCATGACCTGAGATGAAACCAAGAGTTGGAGGCTTAACCGACTGAGCCACCCTGCCCTCCTTCCTCACAGTTTTTAAAAACAAATTTATTAACGGCAATCTTTCCAGCTACAGACGGCCATGAGCCTTCCCTTATTTGGATCCTTATTATACTCCTATTGTCTTAAACAACTCTTCAAGTGTTTCATGAAATGTCCTTCCCTTTAACCAAATGATCTAACGAATGTCCTAAGGGTTAAAGTCACACCTTTTTAATATTATATTTACCAGAGCAAAGTCAAGAAGGATCCTGGACATCGTTGTTAACAAGTGTAACCACAGTACTTGGTCCCTTGTAGGTACTGGGATACAAAAACATATTCCTATTAATCAACTTTATGACATAGTTAAGTATATTAAAAATACAAATATATAAGGCACGATATATACATTTATGTAGTTCAGAGGAAGGGAAATCCTGCCTGGACCAGGGTATTCAGAAAAAACTCTGAAGCCCTGGGATGCGAACGGGCCTTGCCTTGGAGCAGAAAATAAAGGAACAGGCACCAAGGTTGAGTGAGACAAGGCAGTTTTGCTAGAGTGAACAGCAGTGGAAATAAGGTTTTACAGACACAAATTAGCTCCAGGATAAGGAGAGAGTCTGGATCTTAAGTCCGCATAATCCTTCCCCCTTTCTTTTACACGGAAAATCTCTGCAGCTGAGCCTCACTACCTTGTTTAGTTTGGTTGTAATTTCTTATCCTCTTAAGGGCACATGTCTTGTGTCATTCTCCTGAGTACAAATGACCAAGGGCTAATTAACTGGAACTAATGCAGGCGGAAATAAGCCACAAGCCCCGGGCCTGGGGACCCAAGCGGTCGCGGCGGCTCGGTAGTAGGGACCCAGGACTTGTCTGTCCACCCTCTTCCTCCGCCGGCAGTCGCCTGGGACACACTGAGTCCACTTCCCAGAGGATGACGTGCGGAAGCCACGGGCCTCCGGCTTTATTAAGAATGTGAAAGGAGGGGGAGGGGCGGGCAGCGCGAGCCCCACAACCGACGAGCCAAGAGCCCCCGGCGTCCGCGACACCGGCGTCCGCCGCTCGCGCCGGGAGCTCTCGGCACCTCTCTCCACGCCCCGCCCTCCGCCTGCGCCGCCCCGCGGCCGGCGACGCTGGGCAGAGGCGGGGTTTCCGCTTCCGGTGGCGGATTGTTGACGCCTGCGGCTGCTGCGGTGGCTACCGGGCCGTTGGGGAGGGGCTAGTGGGGGAGGGAGACGGCGCAGTGACAGGACCGCCGAGGGTGCTGCTGAGGCGACGATGGCAGAGGGGCCGGAGGAAGCCCGAGGCCGCCCTCCGGGGCAGGACGACGGCGGAGGGGACCCCGAGCCCGCCCCTCCCCTGAGAGGCCCTTCTGCCGCCGCCACCCCGCGCCCCCGGGCCGGGCCGCAGGCCGAGCCCCAGGCCCCGGGCCGGCCCCCCGCCCCGGGCCTCGCGCTCGCTGCGGCCGCCGCCGAGGAGTCGGAGCTGCCGCGCGAGTCCGGGAAGTGCGGGGAGGCGGCCCCCGGCTCCAGTGCGGGGCCGCCGGAGCCGGCAGGCCGGGAGGCGCCCGAGGCCGCCGCGCCGCGAGAGAGGCCGGCGCGGCTGAGCGCCCGCGAGTACTCCCGGCAGGTGCACGAGTGGCTGTGGCAGTCCTACTGCGGCTACCTCACCTGGCACAGCGGCCTGGCCGCCTTCCCCGCCTACTGCAGCCCGCAGCCGCCCGCGCCGAGCCACCCCTCGGGCGGAGGCGCCGCCGCCCCCCCGGCCGCGCCGCCGCCGCCCCCCCAGCTGGGCTATTACAACCCCTTCTACTTCCTGAGCGCCGCGGCTGCCGGGCCCGACCCGGCGGCGGCCTCCGGCGTCACCACCGCGGCTCCCGCGGCGGGGCTGGGGCCCCGGGCCCCGAACGCGCAGGGATCCGCCCGCGCAGCGCCGGTGACCAGGGTGGGCTCCGCCGCCCCTTCGCGGGCCCCGAGCGAGACCGGGCGGCAGGCAGGTGAGGAGCGCGGCGGGGAGGTTGGGCGGAGCGGAAGGGTCTCAGGGGAGCTCGGCGGCGGGGAGGCAGGTCCGCCTTTGACGACTGCAGCTGGCATTTCTCCGCGTTCGGCCGCTGTCGTCTGCCCAGGCCTTACGTTCCCGAAGTGTGGCGCGAGGCTGCCGTTTTTTCCTTGAGACCTGGCTCTCCGAGTTGGTTCCTTTACTCCTGGGACTAGTCCTACCCATGTGTAAGGAGATCTTTGCTCCTCAAACCGAGCCCTTGATTTCTGCGACGTAGAGGGATCCAAAGCTTAATTCTCAGGTGGCAAACCCGTTTTGACGGCTGGTGGGGGTTGGGGGTGCGGTGCTGGTAGTGCTGGAATAATCCAGACATGATTTTTGCATGATAGGATATATGGTATATAAGCTTTTCTATAGTATGTAATTCATATGGTATTCATATAGTATGTAATTATATATTACCTGTATGAAGAACAGTGGGACCGACGGTTATAAAAGATTTATAGGAATACAAATGGGGTTATGAACTTTGGGTCCTAGCTGAATGATCTTGTGTATTGTCTGTTTACTTCTGTATGGGAGTCAGAATGTTTTGCATTAGTTACACGGTTTGTTTAGACTTTTTGTTTACTCAGCCACCGATACGTGTGACAAAAACTAGTGTTCCTGAATTTTTATCGTGTTCAGAATTTGAGATGTCACATTGATAATGGATTTATTGCATAGAAAGCAAGACAGACTAAGTGAATGGGGGGGGTAGAATGAGGAACACAGGTATATACGTTCTAGTAATTGTCTATACCTAACCTTGGTTTTTACCAAAACAATGCTTAATTTGTGGGGGGGCACCTGGGTGGCCCAGTCGGTTAGCTTCCAGCTCAATCTCAGCTCAGGTCTTTATCTCAGGGTTGTGAGTTCAGTTCTACACACACACACACCCTTCGATCTCAGCTCAGGTCTTAATCTCAGGGTTGTGAGTTCAATTCTACACACACATACCCATCAATCTCAGGTCTTCATCTCAGGGTTGTGAGTTCAGTTTTACACACACACACACACACACACACACACACACACACCCTTCGATCTCAGCTCAGGTCTTCATCTCAGGGTTGTGAGTTCAATTCTACACACACACACACACACACACCGTCAATCTCAGGTCTTCATCTCAGGGTTGTGAGTTCAGTTTTACACACACATACACCCATCAGGTCTTCATCTCAGGGTAGTGAGTCCATTCTACACACACACACACACACACACACTCACCCACCCCCACTGGGCTCCACCCTGGGTGTGAAGCCTACTTTAAAATTTTTTTTAAAGTTTAATTTTGTGACATAGGCTTGTGATCACCTGGATTCTGATTTGAGTCCCTAGTGAAATGTATTGAATACCTCAAATAATTAAATTTATCTGTGAAATCACTTTTTAAACATTGAGGGGGTGAAAGCAAACTTTTTAAACTGTTCAGTAAACAGTGGAATAGTGTTGCTGTGTTTTAAAACAGGTACTGTTCATGTAGTCAATACCAATAACTGTCGCAAGGTTTTAATTAGCAAGTTGTACCATGATTTTATGTTCTCCCATTATTACCTAGCTTGGGTTCTAAGGCCTATGTGAGATAAGTCATTTTACTTACTTGTTTTTAATTTACAGGCAGAGAGTATGTTATTCCATCCTTGGCCCACAGATTTATGGCAGAAATGGTGGATTTCTTTATTCTGTTCTTTATAAAAGCAACGATTGTCTTAAGCATTATGCACCTCAGTGGAATAAAGTAAGTTAAGACTATTTGCAGAAAAGTTTCAATGTCTACTGCATAGAGATCTTGTTTTCTGAGGTTCTGTTCACGCCTGCAAGTGACTAAATGGACAGTGTGTGCCAGTGTCATGATTGCTCCTATAGGGAGCTCCTGTAACAAGCTTTGTCATACTGTATTCTTGGTGGTTTTAAGAAATAATTACAAAAAAGAGTAAAACATTTAATAAATTCTGAAAGATCTGGGACTCTGACCTACCAAAAGTTAGGTAAAGGTTTGAGATACATACATATATACATATTTTTTTAATTCCGCTGTTGGGCCAGGCACTAATTTCCCTCTTAGTGTCCTCCTCAGGCATAACGAGCTTTTGGTAGATCAACTGTTGATTATAAGTTAGATGGCATTTCCAAGTGGGATTGCTTATATGGTCAGGCTAGTCCCACGTGAACACAGTGAGCCATCTATTTGAGTAATCCTGTTTTCATATTAATGATCATATCGCACTTATCACTTGCTAAGCACTTTATACATGCTAAGCAAGCATGTAGGAATAATATGGATTCTTTCATTTGCCACTGCTATGAGATGTAGTTCAGTGGCCCCCATTTTATAAATTGAAGTTTGGGTTTATAAGAAGTTAAGCCCAGAATTTATCATTGCAAAGGTAGAAAGTGATAGTGTTAAGATACAAACCTCGTGGTCATTATTTTCTAGCCCTTGCCTGGCACCTGCGTGTTACTGAGACGCCTCCCTGCCTCTCCCACTCCCCTGCCCCCAACACGTCCAACCAGGTTCTGACTCCCTTCCTTTCAGGCTCTTGAAAAGCCTTCAGTTTCCTCTGGACTGAGACTGTGCTTCATCGCCACTGCTTCTCTCCCCAGCCCACTTCGTGTCATCTCTTCTCTGGATCACAGCAAAAGTCTTCTAACTGCTACCTCAGTCCCCCGTCTCCTGTTTGTCTCAATCCAGTCTCTGATATAAACCAAAGAGATCATAAATTCTGATTCTGCCCCTCTCCACCTTAAAGCCTTCAATGGTTCCTTGCTGCCATCAGGATAAAGTCTGGTCTTCAGTTGGTTTAACAGATGCTCTCCTTTTTTAATCACTTGTGACCTTTTATACTTAATATTTGAGCCCTGCCAAAGTACTTGTAGCTTCTCTCACAGTCTCATCCTGAGGCTCGCTCTCTGGCCAGTCCCTGTCTCTGAAACTTCCCCCCTCTTAGCCTGGCTAACTTCGGTTCATCTCCCGATCTCAGCTCAAATGTCATTTCTGGGAAGGCTTCACTCACCATGGTAAATGTTCCTGGTATGTGTTCCTATACTGCCCTATGGTTCTCTTGTCATCACCCTCATCCCACTTTATCATTACTCACTTAGTGTTCTGCTTTGTCTAGGAGGTAAGAGTCTCCATGAAAGCAGAGGCCAAGGCCAGGCTGAGTGCCCTCACCATTGTATCTCCAGGGCTAGTGCAGTGCCTGCTCACAGCAGTGTGTATTTGTTGAACAGGCTAATGAATGTCTTGTGACACTAAATGGGTGGAAACCTAAAGATTAGTTTAGAATTTCAGTTAAAGTTTGTGGCTTACACTAATGGAAAAAATATCCATGCAGTTGCGCTGTAAACTAATTCTTTATAACCCAAAACTATTATTTTGTGTAGGGATATCTCTAAGTTTGCTATGCATTATATAATAGAAGAAATAGATGAAGACACATCAATGGAAGACTTGCAGAAAATGATGATTGTGGCTCTTATATACAGATTATTAGTTTGTTTCTATGAGGTAAGCTACTGACTCAGCAAATATTGACATTTAACTCTCATTTTAGATTATCACCCAATACAAAAGAAGTGGAAATTTATTACAATTATATATTTACAATTAATATATTGATATTTTGTCAAATGTCTCTTAAAATTTTTTCCAGATGTTCTTGAATATAGAGTATTTTTAAGTTAAAAAAAAAAAAAAACAATAGTTGAGTGGAGACATTTACAATTTCTTTGTAATGTACTTAAATATGTTGGTCCAAAAATATACTTGTAAATTGGTTGTGGAACTTGAAATGTATTTTTCCAGAGAAAATGTTGGTTTTTCAATGTGCAACTTCAAATGTATTTTCCCAGAGAAACAACTTGCTTCAAAACAACAAAGTGGGCTACAGAAAATCTAACAGTAGATGTCTCATGGTGCTGAGGGGCTAGAGGCCGGTAGAAATGCATTACAGGGGGAACCTGAGTACTGTAGCAAATTCTTTCAACTTGAAAAATATTTTTAATGAATAATATGGCAGGAGAACTTATCTCTGAAATTAGCAGAGTTGAACTACTAAATTAAAATTATCCTTCTTTCCTTAGATAATTTGCATTTGGGGGGCAGGCGGAGCCACCCCCGGCAAGTTCCTGCTGGGGCTTCGAGTTGTGACGTGTGATACATCAGTGCTTACCGCACCGAGTCGGGTTTTGGTGATTCCCTCTTCAAATGTTAGCATCACAACGTAAGTCGTTTCTTAGGTCGCTGTGTACTTACAGAAATAATTTTAAGTGTAGTATCCATCATATTCACAAGTTCTCCCATTTCATACGGTATTTTTAGGATGTTGGTGGTTTTTCTTCACGGCATGTAACAGACTTTGTTAGGTTTAAAGTGGAAAAGTTTTGAGTTTTTCAATTGTTATTTGATCGTAGACCCCTCTTCAGTATACAATTGCAGGATGATCGTCTTATGAACTGTCAGTCACAGGGATGAGGGTTGGGGCGGTCTCTGTACCAGTGCTCTGTATCTGGTTTGATTTTTCTCTGAATCTGTGGTTATTGGGCCAGTTACTGATCTGCCTTTAGCCTCCCTTTGGTAATCCTGTCGTCCTCCCGTCCGGAATAGGCGGCAAGAGTTTGGACAGAGGTGCATGTGTGCATCCAGCTCTTAAGGGGCAGAGCATGTAACACTTGGCATACGCGTGGCCGTTGGGGTGTCTCTGTGAGGAGGTTCAAACAGTGAGGATGCAGGTTGTCAGGAGTTAAGTTGGGGGCAGTCAGTTGAGCAAAACACGATACTGGCTGGAAGTGCTGCCAGCGTGATTCAAACTGGGTTGTTAACATACAGAAATATGAGAGACCCTGGAAGCCTCGATGTTCCTAATATCCCCCAAGTTTCCTTACAATTCTGTGGTTATCATAATCCTGATTGCTACTTTTAATGAGAGTCAAATAATGGCTGTTTATTGAACACGAACACCTCTTCTATGATAGCCATTGTTAAAAACAGTGAGTATGTATTAATAAGATAGGTACCGGAGGTACTATTATCCCCTCTGTACAGATATGAAACACAAGTGACTGGTAGAAAATGGCTCTGGACTCAGCCCACACTCTCCGCCACTATGCCTTTTCTATAGCCTTTCAGAAATCTAGCCACCAGTAGGATACGTTTCCATTCTGAGCTACGGTTGAAAGCTTTTATTCAAGCTTTCTTTAATCACAGCGTCCCACAAAGAAAGAACACACACAGTAATTTAAAATGTCAGTGCTTCGTAGAAGGTAGAAAATGGGACTGCATTAAGCGTATTAGTTTAGAAGGACCTAAACACAAGTTACTGTAGAAAAGGCAAGCAAATAGTTGCTCGTCTACAAGATATCAGAGAAAATACTGTAAATCTCTAGCTCACCTTCTAAGACATATTTAGTGCTGCTTTTCATGTGACGGTCGAGTCTTACTTTTATGTTGAAGTCTTTAGTACGAGCCCAGATGGTTTGATCAGAATATAATGCTACCTGCAAGTGACTCAGATATCACAGATAAACTGTCAGAACTTTGAATGGATGTTTTAAGTATGTATTTTGAAATTGATAGGATACTGTTAATCTGTACGTGGTTGGTATATAATTTATCTGATTTTTTGCCTTAATTTTTTAGGTCCACTATACGAGCTTTGATCAAGAATTTTTCTATTGCTTCTTTTTTCCCTGCTTTCATCACACTGCTGTTTTTTCAGCATAATCGAACAGCCTATGACATTGTAGCAGGAACCATTGTGGTAAAGAGAAATGGGGTTAGATGATGCCCAAAACCCTGAATTCCATACTCTCTGGAATAATGACAAGACTAAATTATGTATCAAGGCCATCAGTATCCCTGGGTTACACTAATTGATGATTTAGAAATTAAAGCAGTCGCTCCAGTGATGCAGGTGACTATTCTGAAAGCATTGATTTTACTTGAATGCCAAAGAACTTTTCCAGAAGAAAAAATCTGTTAAATTTAAATGTTAAAAATTTTTAGATTGAAAAGGCGGCAAGTGGTTTTATAATCAACAATGGACAATGTATACTTTCTTAAGATCTAAGGTATTAGAATTTGCTGAAAGCACTTTCAGCTTTGAAATCTCCAGATGAAACTTTAAAAAACTTTTGGTTTATCCCAGAATGATGGAAAAAGTCCTGTTGTGTTTTGTAAACACATTAACTCATCTTTTAGTCAACACTTCTTGGGGCAATTGTTGTCTTTGCATTCGGGAAGAGGGGGTGGGGACACACATTTGGTAATCCGTCTTGTCTCCCACCCTGGGAGGAAGGGAGTCAGCTGTGAGAGAGAGAGAGGGGCAAAGGAGGTAGGCTTAGCCAGTCCCTTCATGACGTTCTCAGATCCGTACTGCAATGCACTGTGGGAATGACGCCACTTGACAAGTATCGTTACTGTTCAGACATGTATTTGGGGCAAGTTTTGCATGATGATGAAAAAGTATTAAGTCCTATTGCTGTATTATCATTGATTTTTTTTTTTAAAGAAAAGGTAAGTTAGTGATTGCTTTTGGGGGGGAGGGGGGTCCTAAATTTTCACCGTAAATTTAATTTCATGTGCAAGTGTTTTTAGTGCCCTAAATCAAACTATAAATACGTGGGGGAACATTATTCTCCAGATTGTTGCATATTTACTGTAAAACAATATTCCCAGTATGTGTGCAGCATGAAGAAAGTGTTAGTGCTTTTCAGTGTTCTAATAGAACTTCTGTTTCTATACAGGATATTTACACATTAGCTAGTTTCCTTTCTATATTTTATATAGTTCTATGACTTTTGAAACCTCAAGGAGTTACATAATCTTAGTATTTCGTGATAAAACCTAGTAATCTATTAAATATTAGCAATTTTCCCATTATGAACAAGTCTAAGACAATGATAGGTTATTTCCAGACATTTTTCTAAGTTCTTTGGGCCAAAACCTCACTTTGGGTCTTCCAGGGATGGTGTTTTGAGGGAAATGTTAAAATACTTGGTGTAGTGCCATTTTAATTTATTCTTCTACTGACACAAAGCTTAGTGTTTTAAGTGTGTGCATGTTTTGTTAGATGGCCCAGGTAGCTGTGTTGAGATATATCTGAAAAAGTTTTACTTCTTAGGCATTTTCTCCAACCCTGAGATTTCCCCCAAAAAAACACTAAACTCTGTTGGACACTTCATAATTAGACTGCTTAAAAGGACCAATCTTAACCTTTGGTTTTCTTTTTTTTTTGGTCTTTGATAGAGAATGCAAGACAGATATATTATCGCTATATCCGTTTTTAAAATGGGTTTTTCTTTGACTTTAAAACCGTGAAAATATTCACATTTGATGTCTATAGAAACCTTAACAGTGTCCTTATTAATACCTTTTTATTATAAAATTTCATAAACCATGTTTTTCAAAATAATTTTATATTAAACTCAATATCAAAGAAAGCCTATCAGTTCAGTGTGTCAGAGTACTCAATGGATCATTCACTTGTAGCTCCTGGGAAGATACTTAGCTTGATGGCCCCTTCAAGGTGAAACTTCCCACTCAGCAGTGTATACATTAGCATTAGGAGATACACTGTTTTTGCCACTGACGGGGAATTCAAGTTGAAATGTCCGTCAGCCATATAGCTCTGGAATAGATCTTTCTAACCTCTCAGATAAATTGGAAGGTTCACCATCTAGGCTATTTTAATTTATATAGTCAAACAAAAGCAAGGAAGTCACCCAGTTCAACTTCTTAAAATATTGCACATTCACTCTGAGTTATTCAGAATCCTATCTATGTAGGTTCATTTAGATCCATCTTAGAGTTCAAGTTACATAGCCCTAGAAAATAAAAGTATTCCTACTTTGCCTTTACAACAAAACGCAAGGCTCTTTCTGTATTTAGAATTCAGCACTTAGGAAAAGAGATTTTGATGCCCAAATCTTGGGGGGGAAAAATCACAGGAAACGATGGGGAAGGAGAGAGAGTTTTTCTCTCTTCAGGTTGAGGGGGGAGGGTGTGTGGAACCTCCATCTTCTCAAAAGACCCTTTTTAATATATTTCATTTATAGAAATACTAATTTTCTGCATCAGAGTATAATTCTCATGCTTTGAAGCTCTAGCCTAAGAAGGCAAAAAGAAAGTTGTTTTCATAGTACAAACATTTATCACTTTTATCAGAGAAGTAACAAGCGGACAAAAGCCAAGTCAAGTCGAGGCAGAACACTGTGGCAGCGAATGTGCCCTACTGAAAACCACAGAACAGGCAGGTAACTGAGACATTTAGAAAATCTCAGTACCTACAAGGAGCGAGCTAGGGTGACCAGGGCGCCGTAAGACAAGTGTGACGTATTGAGTGTTCACGCTGAGCAGGGTTGAGTACACAAGGACGGCGCTTTTAGATTCATCTGGGACCATAAAAATAAAGCCGGCACCATTTTGGACAGAAAGCCTTTCAAGTATTGCCCAACTGATGCTTGCATAGCCCTGGTTCAGAAGTCACTTAAACATTTGTTTACCTTCCGATTTTACCCAGACAGTTAGAGTTAAAAAAAAACAAAAAACAAAAAACGAAAAAAAAACCCACATTTGAGGGCCCCTTTGTCTAAATTATAAAAATAAGGCTTTTAGTGTTCACGGTTTCAAATGCCAATGAAAGCCGTTTTAGCTGCATTAAAAGGATTTGTTCCCTTACGTGACTCGTTTGGGTGTTTTACTTACGCGTAAGTATTTCCAGCAAAAGGAAGGTAAAAAAGGAGTTTACACTACTTACTAATCAGGAGCAGAAGGCTCTTTGAGAGAGACAGGGATGAACTGTTTTCATTCTACACTCCTCCCTGTTGAACAGGCTGTCGGTCCCTTGGAAGAACATGCCCCCAGCAGTATTCATAAAATCTGACCGGTATCGTTTCCTTTACTTGCCATTCCCCAGCCTCCATACCGGAGGTCAGAGTCTTTACAAGAAGTCCTTGCCTGGGTGACGTTCCTCCTCCCAAACTGTGTGTATATTTTCTTGTGGTTCATTATAGTAGGGCTTGACCCGCGAACAGTATCTGATGGCCTGCCTATAAATAAAATTCAGCATTCTATTTTTAATAATTTGTATGCCACCAATTTGTATTCTTTGTCTCAATAAATACTTGATCACCGATGCTTTTGGTTTTTGACTGTTAATTTGAGATTTGCTCTAGAATTTCCTGCTTAAGGAGACCTTGCTCGGCTTTTCTAGCATTCTCTGCCTTCACGGGGATGGCAGTCAGCTAGAGTGCTTTCAGAAATAGAGGTCTCCCAAAAAGCCATCCCTCCTCCGGGGTATGTACCTTCTCTTAGCAAAGTCACTCAAAAGTTACTCACAGCTGACTGCGTTTCATGTTAAACGAATCCTGTCCTTTCCTTAAAGTGGTTAACCGTCCCAAGCATTATACAAGATATTAAGGACCCGCTTTACACACGAAGAACCAGAAGTTCGAAGTCTCGTGGCTGGTAAACGACCATGCTGGGCAATTTAAACCCAGTTCTGCTCTTTCAAACATTTCCTATTGTAACGCATCCAGAGGACGACAGGATACAGAACAGGTCCTCAAGAAGAAGAAGAAAGATGGCAAACCTAAATGTAGCTAAAACAATGGCCTGGTCTGAGGTCTACACAGGCACAAACTACACATTTTGGAACCACAGTGGACTTTTAAGGTAAGCTTTACAAGCTCCTCCCATATTATTAGTAAATTCAGGTGGTGTGTGTCGCTAGACACAGCCGTGCAACCCCATTTTCTCAGTTCTACTACACCAGATGTGCCAGTTTCCATTAAACCTACAGGCTAACCTTTGTACAGTTTTCACTGGGTTTCAAACTTTAAATAGACCCCAGAAAGCAGTCATGGAGATGAAAAGGACAGCGTGACAAATGCAGTCAATACTAGAAGAACAGATGGGGACAAACGGTGACTGCCCTGAACCGGTGAGCGCTGACTAACGTGCAGAATTACTGAATTATGTTGTATACTTGGCACGAATGTGGTATGTCAATAGTTGAAAAATAAATTTTTAAAAGTAAACTTCGTATAACTAGGATTATTTGAAATTAAAGTGTTAGACTAAATTACCTGGTTACAAATTTTTAAAATTAGTCCAACACTTTAGAAGCACCTGGGCGGCTCAGTCAGTTGAGCGTCTGACTTTGGTTCAGGTCATGATCTCATGGTCTGTGAGTTCGAGCTCCACATCGGCTTTCAGCTTCAGATCCTCTGTCCCCCTCACACAAGCACGCTCTCAAAAATAAACAGTAAAAAACAAAATTAGTCCAACACCCTAATTTCAAATAATAAAACCCTAATTACATAAACGACTGCAGGAAAGAATTTAGAACAAATATTAATGAAGGCAGGTAGCTTAAAGACAGTTTCCAATTGTTTAAATTACACCACTTCTTAACACCCCAAATCCTGACTCACTCAAAACCACGCAGCACAGCAAGCGGCAGGCCGGGACCTCCCGCACCCGGGGTCCTCCAGCACTCCCCTTCTCCCAACAACCCGCCCTCACGCCTCACTGGTGTGTGGAACACGAAACGAAACCTGCCTGAACCTGCCACCAACAGCCACCACAGCCACCGAGAGCGGCTCTGCAGCCGGAGCCAGCCCGGCCGGGAGACCTCCCTGAGCAGGGGGGGCTCTCGTGGGCATCGCTAGTGTGCAGCCCGAGAAGGACCGCGGTCGGGATGGCAAGTCCAAGTGCCACGTCCCGAATACAGCTCTCTAGACCTCAGTTTGGGTGCGCCGGAGACTGCGTTTCTACACCACCTTGAATACGATTTTCAGTCACTTTATATTTCTAGCATGTTTCTTATGAAGATCTTCCCCACAGTAGAAAGCCTAATGTTCCCATTCACACGAGCCTAGAGAATGGCCAATAATAAACGAGTCCGCAATTTAGTTCGACATTAACATCTCAGCATTAAGACCGGGTTTCCAGTATTCCTTACCATTTGCCCCCAAACAGGCCCGTGTCAAATGTGTATTACTAATAAAGTGACAATTATAAAATGTCTACTCCAAAACCAGCATCTGATGATGGCCTAAGAGGCTAATATGCAATTTTGTCAATATGAAAAATATCTTTCCAAAATTGGAAACACATATAAAAACAAGCTCATAAACATTTTTCAAGTTCTGAATTTGGACTGTGTGCTCAAATTAAGCATAAAATTAGCAAATGCAGTCCCAACAGCTCTCTGACAGACCACAGAAGAAACCAAGTTAAGAAAAAAAAATCCGCTAACACAATCCACAAGAATTCCGCACAAAAGAACCACTTAAGTTTTTGTAGGCTGCACATCTCCGAGAGCTCAAACAATAAACACCGTCTAGTCACCTCTCAAGGAAGATACAAATACAATGAGAAATGGTTAGGTGTGTTTATTTTCAACTTTTAAAAAGGTAGTCAATTTATATGCAAAGTAGGCGTGATTCCTAGCACCAGACAAAAAGCACGGTACCTTCTACATGTTTTGCGTTCAGACGCGTCCCCCTCACTTAGGAGGCGTCCAAATCACTTAAATGTATTCTTTGGAATTTCTCTGACCGTAGCAAACCTTTATACAAAGGTTCCCTTCCATTAACACTGGTACCTTCGTTATAAGTTAACACTAGAAAGAAAAATATTTCATAATTTTTTATTGATGGCATTTATCCCATGGTTTAACATGTTAATTATACTGTAATAAACATGGCTTTAATATTAAACTTTTCCTTATTATCCAAAGTCACCACAGTCCATTTCAGTAAATATAAAAATATATGCTTAATACTTTGTACAATACTGGTTTTTGGTCCAAACAAAACTGGATCAGAAAAGCCAATAAATTCACTTTAAGAATCCCCAATTTTTTTTAAAGATTTCCAAATGGATTTAGGCAACTTTGAATAATGGGATTTACATAATAAAATCTGAGACAAGACTAAACAAAGAACGAACAAATTTTCTAACACAAAATTAAAATTTCAAGTTCACAGATTTATGTTATGCCAAAAAAGTACAGAAACCAAATTGTATTTACACAAGTTTCATAATAAAATAATGAAAAAGGCAAGACAGGTGATAGGATGAAAATATAGAAATAGCAGAGGATTATTAAATGGAGAATGAACTAGATCTAATAAGTCCTTAGCACGGACCATCCTTTCATCAGGCTTCCTCTATCAGAAAAGCTTAGTGCACAAGACACCCGACTCACTCACTTCACACATACACCAGCACAGACTCGGCATAGAACTCACTCACTTCAACACTCTCTAATCTATACAGGAGTCCTCCGATCTAATTACAACATCAGTGCGAGCCAGCAGCGCGGACCCACGCACGTAGTGGTGCAGACACACAGGTTCTATACAAAGCCATTCGCGGAGCGGCCCTGGCCAGCCTACGCCAGGCCGGGGCCTCGTGTGCCGGGGCAGATTTTTGCTGAAGAATCAGTCACCAATTGAGCTATTATTTGTTTTAAAAAGGGAGCGGGCGAGGTGAGGGCGGGGCATCTGTGAAGAAAGAAAACAGGGAGGAAAACCCCAAAATTAAAGAAGTCTTTAGGCGGATCGGACTTCAGAGAACCCAGCACACAGTACAATCCAGTATCTGAAAAGCAGGGCACCGGCTGCTGTGCAAGTGTGTACAACACCAAAGTGACCTTTATTTCCTGCGCCTGACAGCAGTCTTTATCTTGCGACCTAAAACTGAAGGTCCAGAAGAAGACAACATATTTTTCCCGTTTGACCTGTGAAAAACAAACATTTCGTTATGACAAGGTGCTCAGAGGAAACCCCAGAATCCTACTGCTGCTCAAGGCTGCCAGTGGGGGGGAGGGGGGTCGGTGGCCTCACACCCACACAGGCGCGCGCGCAGACACACACACACACAGAGGCACAGGCAAACTCATGGACACACACACACACATGCAGCCCCGACGGGTGAGGCCCCCTTACCCCACGGTGAAGGCCCCCCACCTTACCCCATGTTGAAGGCCGTGGTGGTGGGCTGGGTGAACGCGAAGCTCCCGGAGGCCGAGGGTTGGGCCGCGGCCGCAGGCGCGCCGGGATTCGCACGGAACGTGAACACTCCCGACGGGTTATTGTTCGTGAAGTTGAAATTTGTGGTGCTGCTGCCAAACTGGAAAACTGACGCTACGATAGATAAAGCAGAAAAAGGTCATTAAGGCAAAAAGCTGGGATTTCTAGTAAGGACTCTGCCCTCCCGAGCAGCAGGGGAGGGGAGAGAAGGGTGGGGCCAAGCTCTCTTCCTTCTGATCACTTAATTCATCGCTTAATTCGAGGAAAGTCAGAAGGACGCATTTTCTCCGCTGACACGTGCAACACACTCACACGCCCCCTGACAAGTGGCCTGACTCCCCCGTGACCAAGCGGGTGGGTAGAAGAGGCTTCTGGATAAAGACAGCAGGATCAACATTCGGCACTAATGTCTTCACAAATGATGCTAAAGTCACAGTCAAGGGGTTTTTACAAGGACGAGGGAGAGGAGACAACGCCAAACCGAGCGGCCTTCTCGGGGGGGGGGGGGGGGGGGGGGGGGGGGGGGGGGGGGAGCCCAGGACGCAGTCTCCTGCAGGGCCGGCAGCGGGGCACACATGGGGGCGGCGCCCCCGGACACGAGACACACCCCCGGGCCCCGGGGCCACGAGTGGGAGGACGTGGGTGGGCTGCAACATGGAAGGCGGGAGACCATCTGTGTGGGCGACAGACGTCCAGACTGGTCCTGACCCGGCACAAACAAGAGGGGACTTCTCCAGCCCAGCAATCTCTGGAGGGGTCTCTGGCACTCTGGCAGGGGATGGGGGGGCGGGGGGGGGCATCACACAGGAAGGCAAGGACGTCCTATGGAAATCAGGAGGAGTAAGGCAGGGTGAAGGCTGGGAGCCGCAGCCCTGCCCGCCCCCGAACCCAGGCGGCCAGGAGCACACGTGCCCTCCAGGCAGGAGACCGCGAATGAGCTTCTCGGGGACTCCAGATGTGCGGACACTAAGGCCCAGGTCTTCCCCAGCAAACAGGCCAGGCAGATACACCTACGAGGAAACTCAAGACCTACAAGCCTATCTAAGCACAAAGAATTGTCAAGTGGTACTTAGGTGCCCCGCACTCACTAAATT